TATGGTCGCATGTGCGATCTGGCTTCCGTGGGAGGCTACACTATCAGGCAATATGGTTCACGGTGGACATTGCCTCGCATTTCGCAGGCCTGCGAGTGGACTGCGGCGGCAGGCGAACCCCATGCAGAGAGGTAGTCAACATAGATCGGCCTGGTAACAAGGAGGGGTGAGCCCCACTGACCCCGCTCCTAGTGGGGGACAGCAATCGGCTTGCACCGTGCCTGCCTCCCCGTGTCTTACCCCAGTCTTTCGCAGGCGACAGCCTCTTTCCTATATTTCTGCGGCTGTTTGATGCGCCCTACCAGAACGCGCGGCATTCTCAGGCGCTGCAACCGTGAACCCCCGCTTCGCTCTCGGCACAGCAGCATTTGGATGCCCCCCGCTGCTGCTCCCACGCCAGTCACCCATAGTGAGCTGCAGGTCTCAGGCGATGGTGCCCCCCCTTCGCACAGAGGCTGCCCGCCTGGAGTGCCTGAACTGGCCCCCCATCGAGCCGCTGGTCTCAGGCGGCGCACTCCCTGAGTCGCGTGCGCGGAGGGCCCAGGCTGGCCACCCCCCCCGGGTAGCTTGGTATGCCACCGTCCCCGCTGGTGTACTTCATCGGCGGAGGATTCGAGACGGTGCCGTGCGCTAGCCTGGCTGAACTCGTGGCTTGCCCCTTCGTGGCTCGCCGTGGGAGCGATCTCCGGCGGGCCGCGCGGTCCCGGAGCTGGCCTGGCGGATGGTGCCTGCGTGCTGGACGCGCGCTCGCCCCCCATGCTTGCGGCCCCTCTGTGACGGTGAAGCTGCCCGCCTCGTACTAGCTCGGGTCAGCCTTGCTACAAGTTCCAGTCGTTCGGCAAGGGGCGGTCGTCTCCCACCCAGTGTGAGCGTGAGCCGCGGCTTGCCCTCTCTTCCGTTTCGCCTCGTTTCCCCTCCTTTTCCGTTCGTGCTCTTTCATCTCCCTCCTTGGTTGTTCGCTCTTTCGCCTTCTTCCTTTGTTTTCGTTCGCACTCGCCCCTGCCGCGTTGCCGCTGCGATTCGCCTGGTTGTTCCCCGCGTGCTCAGTGGGGTTCATGTTTTCTTCCAACCCGCGCCGCACCCGCGTCTCACACCTCCTCCTCCTCCTCCCCCTCCTCTTCCTTCCTCCCTCACCCGCGGCGCAGCACAGCGCAGCACATCAAAGCACGCACGTACAGGCATACACACACATACAGACAAACACAAAAACACACAGCATACAGCACAGCACAGCACAGCACAGCACAGCACAGCACAGCACAGCACAGCACAGCACAGCACAGCACAGCACAGCACAGCACAGCACAACACAGCACAGCACAGCACAGCACAGCACAGCACAGCGCACACATACACACATACACACATACACACATACACACATACACACATACACACAAACACACAAACACACAAACACACAAGCACACACACAGCACACCGCACACAGCATAGCACAGCAAAGCACAGCACAGCACAGCACAGCACAGCACAGCACAGCACAGCATGCACGAATCATGCCCACGTGCTTCGTGGGGTTCTGGTTTTCTTCCCCATGTTTCGGGGGGTTCTGGTTTTCTTCCCTGCCGCGTCCCACCCGCGACGCTCTCTCACTCACTCACCTCCCTCTTCCCCTCTTCCCTCTTCTCCTCTCCTCACCCACGCGCGTCGCACCCGCTGCTCTCACCTCGTGGCCATGGCGCAGGGCGTGGCAAGTGTGGCACTTTCTCGATCTCGTGGGGGGTGCGCAGGGGGTGGTTTCCGAGCGCGGCGTCTATGCGGGCCATGGCGCAGGGCGTGGCAGGTGCGGCACTTTCCTCACCCTGTAGGGGGTGCGCAGGGGGTGGTCTCTGGGCGCGGCGTCTATGCGGGCCATGGCGCAGGGCGTGGCAGGTGTGGCATTTTCCTCACCCCGTAAGGGGGTGCGTTTGGGGTGGTCCCCCAGCGCGGCGTCTATGCGGGCCATGGCGCAGGGCGTGGCAGGTGCGGCACCTTCCTCACCCTGTAGGGGGTGCGCAGGGGGTGGTCTCCGAGCGCGGCGTCTATGGTGGCCATGGCGCACGGCGTGGCAGGTGTGGCACTTTCTCGACCTCGTAGGGGGTGCGCAGGGGGTGGTCTCCGAGCGCGGCGTCTATGCGGGCCATGGCGCAGGGCGTGGCAGGTGTGGCACTTTCCCGATTTCGCAGGGGGTGCGCAGGGGGTGGTCTCCGAACGCGGCGTCTACGCGGGCCATGGCGCAGGGCGTGGCAGGTGTGGCACTTTCTCGACCTCGCAGGGGGTGCGCAGGGGGTGGTCTCCGAGCGCGGCGTCTATGCGGGCCATGGCGCAGGGCGCGGCAGTCACGGCATATTCTAGACACCGCCAGGGGTGCGCAGGGAATGGTCCCCGAGCGGGGCGTTTATGCGGGCCATGGCGCAGGGCATGGCAGGCGCGGCATATTCTCGACACCACAGGGGGTGCGCAGGGGTGGTCCTCGAACGCGGCGTCTACGCGGGCCATGGCGCAGAACGCGGCCGCAGCAACATTTCCTCCACAGCAGGACTGTAAACGCTCTGGCTTGAGTTGAACGCGCGACACGTTTTGGCTTCCGCGCCGCGCCGCCGGGGTCTCTGCGCTGGTGTGGCGCAGATTTCCTTCCAACGAGATGCCTCCAACATCATTCTCGCATGCTCCACTTCAGCTATCATCACTCCAGCCATAATATAAGTATGTAGGTTTCCTCGGTAGCGTAATTTTCGCCGCCATCGTGGCCTTCTTTTCTTGCGTTTCGCTTGCGACAGTTGCGCTGTGCGCCATGGCTCTGTGCTGTTCGACCCTTTGACGGTGCGCGGCTGCCTCCGCGTCACTCGCAATCAAAAAGTATCCCCACCAGCCCATCCGGGAACAATGCATAGGGGGGCTGCCTTTGTTGGGGGAGCGCGGTATCATTTGGATGCCTCGGAGAACCTCAGTGAACCAGAGGCCTCTTGGATGCATCTCGGCATCGCTTGGGATGTTTCCTGGGGGGCTCTTTGTGAGAGGCGTCTTGGGGGGCCACTTGGAGGCTCTTGGGGGCCTCCTGGGGCGTCTTGGGGGCGTATTGGGGGCCCCTCGGGTGCCTTTCTGGGGTTTCTTGGGGCCTTCGTGTGGCCCTCTTGGTAGCCTTGGAGGCCTTCTCGGGACCATCTTGGAGGACATCGGTTGAAGAAGAGGGGGTCCTCAATTAGCGTCGCACCTCTAGGGCCCCTAAAATTGCCTCTTTGGGCTCTCTTTGGATGCTCGTTGGGCGCTCTTGGGGCGCTCTCGGGGCCATCTTGGAGCCCTCTTCGGCCCCTCTTGGGGCCATCTTGAGGCCTCGGGAAGTCATCGGAAGCCAAAAGGCGAGAATGGCAAACACGATTGGGTCCGTCTTGGAGCGGTCTTGAACCATCTAGGAGGCCATATTGGGCTATCTGGGGCCCTCTTGGAGCCATCTTGGGCCATGCCGGGCGCTCCAGTCGGTCGCCGCCCCCCAGTTCCAGACCCAGGGGTAGGGGGTAGGGGGAGGTGTCAAGACTCCCTCCCCGCCCGCATGCCGTCTCGCTCACCCCCACCCGCCCTCCCAACACATACGAAGCACCCGAACCTGGCCCGAACCGCAGCATATGCACCAGTCGTCTTTGGATGGCCAGCTACTGGGGGCCAATCCGCCGCCGCCGCCGCCTCCGCCGCCGCCGCCGCCGCCCGCCGCCGCCGCCGCCGCCGCGCCGCCGCCGCCGCCGCTGTCCGCTGCCGCCGGCGCCACCGCGCTGCCCGCCGCCGCCGCCGCCGCCACCGCCGCCGCCGCCCCCCCGCTGCCGAATCGCCGCCGCCGCAAACCGCTGCGGCCGCAACCGCTGTCGCCGCAGCCGTTGCCGCCACCGCCGCCGCCGCCGCCGCCGCCACCGCCGCCGCCGCCGCCGCCGCCGCCGCCGCCCCCGCCGCCGCCGCCGCCGCCACCGCCGCCGCCACCGCCGCCGCAACCGCCGCCCCCGCCGCAGCCGCCGCCGCCGCCGCCAAGTGTACTCTGTAGTGTTTTTGACACGGATGGCGAATTTGGAGGCAGAGTGTGTGTTTGTAGGGTTTTTTGCTAGGGATGGTGTGTGGGGGGCCCTCATTGGCTCGGGTTGGCTCCCAGTCGCCTGGGGGAGGGGGTGTATACTAATAGGGAACAGTGATCAACACATTCCTCCCAAACGCAAGCTGTTTGGCTCAGTCCCACCCGCCCTCCCAAGAGATACCTAGTACCCGAACCTCAGAATATTCAGTTGTCGTCTTTGGGTGGGCGGCTTCTGGGAATCAATCCACGCCCTAGGTGTGCGACGCTGGGACGAAGTGCGCCACACGTGCCAGGCGCACCACGCGTGCCAGGCGCGCCAGGCGCCCCTGGGGCCCAAGCCTGCCAGGCACACCTGGCGCGCCACATGCGCCATGTCCTCCACGTGCGCCAAGTGCGCTGCATGCTCCAGCCGCGCCAGGTGTGCCACGTTCGGGGCACGCGCAGGGTGTGCTAGGTGCGCCCGCTCACATCGGAAACATGTCGGCCCCCACTATCTTTGTCGAAAGACAACGCGCAAACGCGGCGGAGTGGCCATCATGATATCTGGTGGGCCTGCACACAGCATGCAGCATGCCAGCACCCCCGCCGTCCCTGATAAAAGTCACTGCGAAGTGATCGTGGGGTGCCCGCGCACGATCCAGATTTAGCCGCGAAGTGCAGTTTGCATGGTTTTTTGACAGGGGTGGTGGCCCTGCGCACAGCAGGCCAGTGGCTGGCACCCCCTCTGCCCTTGTCCGAACACGGTACAAAGTGCCCACGGCCCCCCCGACACATGACCCAATATTGTGCCGCAAAGTGCGCTGTGCGGTGTTTTTCGGCAAGGATGGCGGGTGGGGGGGGGCGCATTGTCCTGGGTTTGCCACTGGTCGGTTGGGGGATGGAACGTCTATTCATAGTGTACTGAGCAGGGATGAGCCCCTCACCGAAAGGGAAGAAAGGGGGTTGGAAGCGCCCTAAGCTACACACGTCCTACAGGGCTGGAGGGATTCTGAATCGTTAGATACCGCATAAGGGGGCCCAGGACGCTACCCTTCCAGGGCTTTGATGATATACAACGTGAACGAGACCTGCCCAGTCCTCTTCTCGCGGCATCCTGATCCGGGTCTTGTCCTGTGCCTGTGCGGCGCTCTCCTCTGCTGCGTGCTGGGCCCCGGGCTCTGGCTGCACATCTCAGGGGGGGCACGTCGATGTCTGCTTGTCCTGCTCGTTCTCGCGCTTCTCATTTCAGCAGGGGTACCTCGCACCGCCTGTACCGCCTGGCCCCCTGGTGTGTCAACTGTGGGGAGTGTCACCAGGGGGATGGCCCCGCATATGAGCGACGCGACAAATCGGGGTCGTCTGCGCCGACATTGGCGCGTAAGCTGCCCGCGTAGGGTCGCGCGTGAGAGCCCTCGTCTCCAATGTGGCGTGCCGCGCGACAAGGTCGCGGCGTAAGGTCGCCACGGCATCTCGCGTGAGGCCCGCTTCTGCTCGTCGGTCGTCTGGCCCCTCCACAGGCATCCCACCTGCTGCGGAGGGGCCACGTGCGGGCGGGGTGCAATACGTGCGAGCTGAGGATCCACACCGCGCACAGCACTGCACGAAGTGATGTTTGGGGCGCACGCGGCCCATCGCGCCGAGCGCGCGTCGCGGCACGACGTTGCAGAAGGACGCTGCGTGGAGCGGCATGCCCACGGTGAGGCGGCACACGCCGCCATCGACGTCCAGTGCCTCCTCCTGGTCCTCCTCTTCCTCCTTCTCCTTCTCCTCCTCCTTCTCCTCGTCCTCGTCCACCACCTCCTCCGCCTCCTCCTCCTCCTCCTCCTCTTCGTCCTCCTCCTCCTCCTGCTCCTCCTCCTCCTCCTCCTCCAGATGGCCTCTTGGGGTCTCCAGGGGCTGCCAGGGTCGATGCCGCGAGGCCCCCCTGAGGCCCCCAGGAATTCCCAGTGGCCGTCCCGGGGATCACCAGAATGGGGGTAGCGCTAGGACGTGGTGGAGGACGCCGCGAGCCCGTCCATGTGTGCCGCCCACCGCCTGCTTCCTGGGGCCTCGAGGATCTCCAAGGGGCCTCCGCGGAGCCTCCGCGGAGCTGCAGGGGCCTCGAGCACGGCCCGCGCGTGGCGACCATCCCCCCCCCCAAACCCAGGCGACGGCGTAAGGCTGCTCACCTGTACCGCCCCGTACCCTCAGGCGCCCCCCCCCCCCCCTGCAAGAGGGCTGTGCGGGACCGGCCCGCGCGGGGAGACCAGGCCCCCGTGCGCTCAAGAGCTTCGCGCCTGCAGGCCTCCACTTCTCGCACCCCGTCCACCACTGCTGCCGCGGGGGGCCTCGTCGTCGCCACGGCCGCGTTCGCTTCGAGGATATGGTCGTGGCGCCGCTCGGGAGAAGCCAGGGAGCACTTGTTGCTCGGAGCTGAACCTGGTCGGAGAAGCGTTCCTTTGCATCCGGGGTGCGAAGCCATACCGAACTGGCCCGCATTCGAGGCATGGTGTGCCAGGACGTGTGCTGGCAGGGCTAGGTCCGGTCTGTGCCTCAGGCACAGGAGGAGAATTGAGGAGGAGGAGGAGGAGGAGGAGGAGGAGGAGGAGGAGGAGGAGGAGGAGGAGGAGGAGGAGGAGGGGAAGGAGGAGGAAAAGGAGGAAGAGGAGGGGAAGGAAGGATGAGGAGGAGGAGGAGGAGGAGGAGGAGGAGGAGGAGGAGGAGGAGGAGGAGGAGGAGGAGGAGGAGGAGGGGGTCGATGTGCTCTCCCTGAGTATCACCATGCGCCCCGCGGCCTGGGGCGAGGGGCCCCGCGAGGCGGTCTGGGGGGTTCTGAACCGGCCATACGAGGACTGCGGGACAGAATAGACGAGCAGGGGACGAGCAGCCACGGTCAATCTGCTCGCCTGGTCCCAAACCGACCTCGGAGCTTTCTGGCTACTGGCATTCCGGCCGCCCACCAGGAGAGGCGCCAGTTCTGGGAGGTCGTGATGCTGGCGCGAAGGACCTGGATAGAAGACTTCGGCCAAACGTGAAAATCAACAGAGTTTAACTCCTCGCCTCCATCCACCAGGGTGGAACTCCCCTGGGGGCGAGCACCTCCCTTCACGGGTGAGATTTCCACCGCTGGTGGGCGACCTTTTCACCTCGAGGATTTTTGCGTTTTCGCACAGCCTTGCATTCGGAGGATGTTGCTGGCAGCGGTCGCGGTCCTGTGCCCGATGTCCTATTCACCAAACGCGCATCTGAAGGCGGTGCTCATGATCAACGTTGCGGCGTTGGGTGCGCACGCGAAGGCGTGGCCCTACAAGAAGAAGATTACAGAGGGCATGCCGAAGTATCTCAACATCAACAACATCGAGCTCCTCTCGCTCTTGACGTGCTGCGCCTCCACCATCCTGGCGTCCTACCTCCTCGAGGACGCTTGGACCCACGAGGAGTCCCTGGACCTCGCGGTGATGGGCTCGTCCATCGTTCTCATCCTGGCCTTCTCCACGCTGCTGGTCGGCCTGCTCCTCTACACGGGGGCCAACAAGCTGCGGGCGTAGGCGCTGCCAGGAGGAGAAGGACGAGGAGGAGGAGGAGGAAGAGGAAGAGGAGGAGGAGGAGGAGGAGGAGGAGGAGGAGGAGGAGGAGGAGGAGGAGGAGCGAAAGGAGAAGGAGGAGCATGAGGAGGAGGAGGACTCGAGTCGCGCGCAGCCGTTGCCCGGCCGCCTCCCTCCTCACCTGCTCTCCCTTTCTTTCCTTCCCCTACTTCCCCAACTCCGGGGCCATGGAACGCGACGTCGACCTCGGCGCCGCGCCGGCGACTGGCGCTGCGCCGGATGCGGCGGCGCCCGCCGCCGCTCAGGGGAGGGACGACGACGAGGACGACGAGGAGATGCTGCCAGCGGAGGGCGCAGCTGGCGGAGGCGCTGCAGCCGGCGGAGTCGCTCCAGGGCGCCGCCGTCGTCGCGGAGAGTGGGCCTTGAGCCTGCAGCCCGCCTCCAAACGGCCTGCTGCCTGCAAAGGTTGCGCGATTCCTTTTGAGACGGAAGAGCTGCGCATGTGCCCGTGGGGCAGCCGGCATCGCTACAGCTGGCTTTGCTTGGGATGCGTCTCTGCGAAGGCGGCCCCCGACGATGACATTCGTCCTATGGCCCCTCGTGCCCAGGACGTCCACGTCCAGGAGGCGCGCACGGCGTTGGCTTCGGCGGCCGCCAGCCGGAACAGCGACGGCCAGGGGCACGAGCAGGAGCAGGAGCAGTGCAACGTTCCGGTGATGCATCCGGCCTGGGACGAGACGACCCTTCCTGACCGGGCCTGGTGGCAGCGTTTGGCGTGGCAGTCAGCCCTACGCGCGGGGGTCCCCACATTCGTGCAAGTTCCAGACAGGTTTCGCGGTGCGGTGACGCATGCGAGACGCAAGGCGCTGGAGGTGCTCGAAGAGGCGGGCCAACACGGGGATGCCACACCAGAGTGGAACATGCTTCTGCTGTTCGACTTGGTGCTGTTCGCTCGGCCCCGGGGGGTGGGCCCGACGTGTGCAGAGCTACTGGAAGAGCGGCTGGCGTTATGGTGGGGCGGACAGTGGGCTCAGCTGTGGGCTTCGGCCACGAACGGCCCACCCCCGCGAGCGCCACCAAGGAAGACAACCGACAAGCAGAAAGCACACCGGGTGCACACTTTGGCTGCGGCCGGGGAGGAATCCCGCGCGCTGGCGGCAGCAGTGCAGGCCGAACTGGCGCCGCGCACGGCTGACACGCTGGAGAAACTGCGGGCGAGCTTCCCGCCAGACGAGCCCGGAGACGGCGCCGGCGCGGCGCCGCGCCCTGCCCCGCCCTCCGCGCCGCCCAGCCCCGAGCTCAGAGAGGAGGTGGAGGAGGAGGTGCGCAAACTACTGCGGCGCCCTCCCCGGCTGGCGGCGCCGGGCCTGCTGGGGACGCGGCTGGAACACCTGGGGGCGAGCGACGGCGAGACAGCGCGGCTGCTCGCCCGGGCTGCCGCGAGGGTCGCCTTCGGGGAGCTGCCGCGGGAGGTCCTCGAGGCGCTGCGCACGGGGGAGCTCGTGGCGCTCGCAAAGGGCGCCGGCGAGGTCAGACCCCTGCTGGTGGGCTCCACGCTCCGCCGCCTGGGGCTGCGCGCGCTGGCGCGGGCGCGGAAGGCCCACCTGACTGAGGCTGCCGGGAAGCACCAGTACGGCGTCGGGCGCAAGGGCGGCGCGAACGTGCTGGTAAAGAGCTTGCAGGCCCTCGCGGAGGCCCGGCCGAACGCGACGTTTATCAAGGTGGACGTCAAGGCCGCGTTCCAACGGATGCGCCGCGGCCCCGCTTTCGAGGCCTTGGACGAAGCTGTCCCCGAGGTGGCGGCGGCCCTGAGGGCCTGGTACCCAGGCCCCGCAGAGCACTACTGGCGCACGGCCGACGGGCGCTTCGAAACGGTCTGGAGCCGGCGCGGGTTCGATCAGGGAGACCCCTTGTCTCCGGCGGCGTTCGCCGTGGGGCAGCGGCGCGCCCTTGAGCAGCTCTTGCACAGGCTGCAGCAGCTGGACCCAGCCGCCCGCCTGTACTCCTACCTCGACGACTCCTACTTGGTGGTGCGGGCGGGCCTCGGCGCCCTCACGCTGACGGGCCTCCGCGAGGTGCTCGCGCCGCTGGGGCTGGAGCTGAACGACGACAAAACGCTGGTCTGGTCCCCGGCGGGAGTCCAGGCTGTCGAGGCCGAGCTCGCGAGCAAGTGTGTGCCCGTGCTGCCAGTCCTCGGCGCGCAGCTCCGGGCTCCAGGAGACGCCGACGGGACGGCGCTCCCTCTCGGCGGGCAGGGCTGCGGGCTGGACGGGGCCACGGCGCGCCTCGAGAAGCTCTGGGCCAACCTGGAGCGGCTGCTGCAAGGGGGGCTCAAACGGCAGGCGGCGGGCGCGCTGCTCAACACCTACGCCGGAAACGCCAGCCAGCACAACTTGCAGCTGGCCTTGGCCGCGGGGGAGGAGACCTTCCGCTACGACGCCGCGCTGCGGGGCTGCTGGGAGAAGCTGCTGGGGCGGCCGCTCGGGCCAGAGGCGTGCGAGCTGCTGGGCCTGCCGGCGAAACTCGGAGGGGCCGGTGCGCAGTGGGCGGCCACGAGGCGGGCGCCCGCCTGCTGGGCGGCGTGGACGCAGGCGGCGGAGGAGGTGCGGGACGACCTCGGTGTCTCAGGAGTCTCCACTCTTGCAGACATGCTGGCGGCGCTGCCGCAGGCCGCAGCCGCGCTCGAGGCGACCCGGGCTGAGCTGGCGCGCCAGGGCGCGGACCCGGAGCCAGCGGCGCCCCTGGAGGCCTTGCTGGGGCACCCGACAAAGCAGAAGACCCTGGTTGCTATGGTGCATAAGAGAACCCACGCTGCTGCGAAGCAGCGAATGCACCACTGCAGCCAGGCGTTGCTGCTGTCCGCGGGAGGGCCCGGGGCCGGCGCCTACCTACAGTACCCGGCGGAGCTGGCCTGCACGCTAGAGGACCCGCACTGGCAGACGGCGACCCGCAGCCGCGTCCAGCTGCCGCGGCCGGAGTGCTCCACTGACGAGCTCGCGCGAGCGGCGGCGACGTGCCAGAACCTGACGGCTGGCGGGGTGCCGTGCCAAGCGCCGCTGGATACGGCGGGATTCCACGCGGCCGTGTGTCAGCCGGGCGGAGGCGTCGTCAAGCGGCACGCGGGCGTGGCGCGCGCCGCGGGCAGCCT